CAGCTACTTACGTCCTTACAACTATACCGAATCAATATGTACTTAAGAGTATTTAGACATCACTGACAGATGAAGGAAAACATCGTGAGGAAACCTGGACTTATCAAATTATAAGTTTGAAATCACCAACCCGTGATCAAGCGTGGTGATTAATGCTCAAACCTTCTCCATGTGAGAAGAGGCTCAGCAGTGGGCTCTGATAGGCTGATGATGATAACAATACCTTCAAAATATATTATATATGTATTAGTAGTATATATATGTATTGAGGCGTGTAGTGTCCAACTGTAGACAATAGTAAATATTCGAAAGCTATAATAAATCCACTTATCGTCAACGGAAGCCCTACCTAGCTAATGCTCTACTTTAAACGCGCCTCTTTATGTTAAACTATATATATTAAAATATATTTCGGTGTAACATTTGTTGTTCGAATGTTATAATAATAACATTTTATTTTGAATAATGTGAATCATGAACATTGAACATTTACTGTTTTTTAAATACCTGATATAAAATATAATATGTATGAATTTTTATGTTAAAATTTACAAGACTATTGAACTATCGTGATTACAATAGAAATTCTCAATGAAGTTTAATAAATAAAATATTTTATGTATATTAATTTATGGTCAATATATAGGTGATATATAGGAATAGTAATAAGTATTTCATTGTAGCAATAAGTCAGTGTTGTCCTAGTGGTTAAAAGGCCCGCCTCTCGTGTCTGAGGGCGCGGGTTCGATCCTGGCAAGTACCAATGTGATTTTTCCTAGTTATAAGTACTTTCTAAGAGTATTTAGACATCACTGATTAATGCATTCCCAAAGAGGGTTGATGTGAGGCAGGCGGCCGGTCGTAAATACAATTAGCAAGAACTATTCACAACATGTAAGGCAAACCCTGGCTAAATCTGGGAAATTGCCAGGTAGAAGAAGATATGTTTTATTTTTTGATTTTTATAAAAGCAAATGAATTTAAATTTTATACTAAAATAATGTTTAATATATATAAATTAACATAATCGTTCAGTAAGTAGCCAAAACTCCTTAAGGCACTATAATTTCATATAAGACGAAATCCATTAACTACTGATGTGTAGTATTGAGTGTTTCAAATTAAAATTAATACTAATTACAAGGGTAATATTTTTTGTATTAATTCAATTAGATAATTAATGATTACTAGTCTTTCCCCGCGACTTCGTCCGCGTTAGTTTGGTCAAGAGTAATATATGTAGGTATACCTGACCAGGCGAACTCTATTCCGTCTTAGAAACCATTCATAATAATCAGCTTTTTCTTGTTTCAATCAAACAGAATGATTGACATATTAGTTAGTTGTCAAATCTAATGTCAAAAAAAACGTTTGTATGGGGAATAGAAAAGGGCTGTTTTTATGGTTTTCCCGGCAATTATTCCAATTTTTCTCACCTTTTAAACCTTCCCTTGACTTCCAGGAGTATTTCAAGACTAAAATTAACCAAATCGGTTCAGCCGTTCTCGAGTTTTAGCGAGACTAAGGAACAGCAATCCATTTTTATATATATAGAAGATTATTAAATTAATTATCTTAGTAATTTTTTAATTTCTTTTTGAATATTTCTCATATTGTAAACATAAAGCGGGTTTCGGGATTTTAGTTGGTTGATTGTACTGTCTATTAAGATGACTAAAATTTCGGATGCTGTAAAATGTTTTTAATATGAAAATCATTTACTTAAACACATACTTGCCATATTCCTATAGTTTATATAATTTTTATGCGTACCTAAATAAAAAAATATTATTTGACTGTTTTAAATTCCTTAAATTTGCAAGGTATTTTTTGTTTTTGTTGTACTTATAAGAAATTTACCACATTTATAGGTATATTCGATTTTAGTAAATTTGGAAACTGACCTATATTTTATTGACAATAAATAGGTATAGGTATATCTACATAAAATAATCATTAAAACATTTTTCATATCTTAAAAAAAAGGTTACATATACCTATATGAAAAGAAATATCTTAAAATGTTCTAACAAAAACATATAACTAATTAATTTAAAACCTAGTAGTTACTATCTCCCTAACGTTACGAATGATAGTAAACTGTAACAATCTTTTACCCAGACTAAGGATATTTCATATAAATGTACCATTTAAAGTAATAACATTTTTTTTTCTATGCCGATAATATTTTTTCATTCCTTTGTTCTTATAAGTTTCTATGTTAATAATTTGAAGAAACATCCCTTTGTTTAGAAAAATACGGATCACTTGATAGCGAAATGAAAACAAAGTTCTAGGAAATTGTTAATAAGCTTAAAAGCATTGTCTGGACCGAGTCATGAGATACCGCGGATTAAGACAGACATACACACAATAATAACATCTTATATAGGAGTTACATAGGTATACTGTAATCGTTTATACAGACATACATATTTTAATTAAAATTATCTATATTAACAATTGTGTCATTTAGACTATTACGTATATTCCTAGTCATAATCTATCTATACAGAAGAACTCATCTTTATTTGTCTAATCACAACCACCTCCATAAATATAGATCCAATTTATTATAAATTACATTTTATATTTATATACATTTGTATATAAAAATTAGTGTTTAGTAGATTTAGTGTTTAGTAGTACAAAACAAACACATAGCCACTTAACTCATAATAAATAATCTCTATAGGCTTATTTTATTCACTATTATATACAAACTCATATTAATCTAAATTACTTACTACTACTTACTTAAATAAACCGAAATAAATGATTTTTTTCTTATATGTATCGTCCAAATCGGTTAAACGGTGTTCTGTTAAACTATTTAACCTCCAAGTTAATCTTAACCGTAGTTATAGTTACTTTTAACTCGGGCCATGTTAATTGATGTAGAGTTATTAGTATTGTAATATAACTATTATAATATTTATTATCGTATGGTTACACACACAAGCTGAAGCGGATTAAGATGAGTTTGTGTATACGTATAGTGCGATTTAAAAATAAACATCCTTTTTAATTTTCATTTATTAAAATAATAATCGAGTTTTTTGTACTAGCTTCTCCACGCGACTTTTTCCGTGTAGATTAAATATTACGTAAACACAATAAAATTATCCTAAACAATATTAAAAATATAGAAATATTATTTTATTAAAAGTGCCAATCAAATAAAATAGCAATGACACTAAAATTAAATAAATTAATGACGTCACGAAATATTGTGTTATAAAGTTCTAACATAAGACATCTGCTCCTACAGTGTATGGGAGTTTAAAAAATGAGATCATTCAACACGTACTAGCTAAGAACATTTGTTGAGAAATAATATGTAACGTAATAAAAAGTTATATACTTAAATATCTTAAAATTATTTTATAAAGAGCAATCAGATTAATATCGATTTAGAATTAAAACATTGAAGATAAAAGTAAACTGTTAAATCAACTTTACTCCAACAACAGTAAAACGTTTAACTTTTATCTAACTCGACTTATTCTTTATCGGCGTGTTTTGACCGCCTGTGACGTCACAGAACATTCTAGAATTCCGGCGTTCTTTATTTAAATATTTCAATTCCCCTCACAGGTCATCTTCCGTCTCTTTCACTCCACCGAATTCTTAACATTATTCTGATCACAGCCCGACACCTATTCACTAAATGCTAATCACGCACACATGCACACGACCCGCTCTGTACACACGCGGCCTGTGTGTGTGTGCGTCTAACTCAAATTCGGCCACTCACACGCAAACGAATAAATTTGAAGACGTCCCATTGGTTAATGTCGTGTTAGAAAAAACTTAGGAGGTATTTTATGGCGTCACGGATGAATGAAAAAAATTATAATAGATTTTTTTTTAATGTGTTTCCTGTGTTTTTTTATGAGCTCTGAATGTATGTATTTTTTATCTTATATCTAAAATATTATTGTGTGTCAAAATTTCCGTCCACTCAGACGCAGTCAAAAATTCGGTCGCTTGTGATTGGTCAGTTTTTTGTTAGAAAAAATTAGAGGTCTTTATATGTAGGATTGTGAATGGATGATATTATAGCGGATGTAACATCTGATATAGTTTATGTAATGTTATTAATATATAAGAAATATTATGTTATGTGTATTTATTATCATGTTTATCACAATTAATACTAATAAAATGGACTTTTATTTTTAATATTATTTGGTACGTTAGAAACGACTTATTTTTTTGAGTAAAGAAATTATAAATTATCAGTCCACAATATTTTAATCACCCTATATAAACATAACTAGTTCTAACACACTCATAATTCCTTCAATGACAGACCCTCAGTAGGAACTTATTATGCCTAAGAACCCCAATGTTTTTGAAATTCGAATTCCATATTCAAACACGTGTGTGTGTGTGTGTGTGTGTCTAACGCGCGCCCCTCCCCCCACCACGTATACCGAAATTTGAATTACGTTAGATGATTGGTCGATGCTATTCAGTTTTTTTTTGTTATAGTGCCAGCAACCGGTCGAATGGGTCTTTTTGATGTTTGGTTTATGTACTTTTTTTTATCGTATTAGATTTCATGGCCTCTCAAAAAGAGTTATATTATGTATTAGGTATGATTTAAAATATTTATTTGTATCGAAATATTGTATTTTAATATACCTATTTGAATGAATGATTCATATGAATAGCATACCCGAATTTATTATACCTAATAGGTACCTATTTGGTTATATCAAAAAATGTTATAGGTATTCATAAACATGAAGGTTACAGTATAAAGTAAAGTTATAAAGTATAAAAATTCTTTCCAAAAAAAAACCTGAATCTAAAATCAGATGGAGGCATGAAGGACAGCACGAGCGAATAATTAAACGTTTTAAATTCAGTAGGGTCCCGCTATTGTGTCGCGATAAAAAACCCCAAATTACACTCACACACACACACAACACACACACACACACACACACAGGACTCCGATTTGAATTCCGAACGCGCGCACAGTTTCCGTGATGGCGGCGCGGTCGTTGACCCCACGTTTTGGAGGGCGAGTGACGTCACAACTGACCTGCCTCAACGACCTTGAACGGAAATTCGGTAGGGGCTTGACGTCTGTACGCGATGTTGACTCAGGTTAGTTAACAAGAGATTAAACTGAATATAATAACTATAGGAACATTATAATATATTTACACACGCATTCTTTGTGTCATATATATACTTATCATGAAACTCACTCTGGTCTAGACTGCTTAAATTAATTAAGTATCCATTAAATTGAATCCTCAATCGAACAGCGCGTCATGCCATCCTTTAAGTCCGTCGAGTGTGTTCGGGAGCTACGTCGGAACATACACATCTGACTGACACACATACATACATATTTTCTTTATACTTTCTAATCGATGTATTTTTCGTCCAGCGAATGTTCACGGCCGACTGTTAACTTATCACCAGTCATCGACACCGGAGTCAACATTCAGTTATACGTTTATTATAAAACATTTAAAATTCATTCTACACACACATAATACGAGGAAACGATATTAAAGTTTATATTATCAACAAAAAACATTTCAATGCCGACGATAATACAAACACAAAAAGAACCTTAAATAAAAATATTATAAAAAATACGACTAAAAAAGAACCCAAAATTGTTTGACAAAGACTGTACTGTCCGAGATAAGATAAGACGCACACACACATACAAACACACACACACACACAAACAAATGATGAACAGACATGATTCAGACATTGAGACGGGTGCGTCGACCCCACATTTTGATGAGACACAGCATATTACATATCCATATAGGGAAATACGTGACACACATTACACACCTTAATACATACGGCATAAGGGCCACAGTCGCTACCGACCAGCCCGGGATCTTTGATTGCCATTTCGAAGTTTGAAAAAAGAATTTTCGTATTTTAAAATTCGAACGCGTCGAAAATTTCTCATTTGGAACGGATTTAGTGACACAATGTGAATGTTGCGTAAGTGTTATATGAATGGCGGGGTTTTAATATATTAAATAATACTTCGTTTATTAGAAAATGGCCGTGAAAGTGTAAGTTATATGTGTTATGGCGCGTGTGTTGTGTGTTGTGTGTAGTCTGGAGTTGAGTTTCGATAATATTATTTATGTCTGACCTAAATACATCTGACCGCACAATAAAAGTTTCAAATTGTCGCTCCTATACGTAATCTACTACCACGTGTTCTCACTTTTAAAACGGATGACTAATTGTTATGTAATTTAATAGTTTGTTATATATAGAGTGAGTGAGTTCCGAGTGAGTTGTTTATAATGAGTGGTGGTAGGGGTCCGTTATCAAGCGTCACTGACCCTTCCAATGACTGAAATGAATAATCACCAGCTAATTATAAAAGTTTAACTTGTGAGGACGACACACACACACACACACACACACACACACACACACACACACACACACACACACACACACACACACACACACACACACACACACACACACACACACACACACACACACACACACACACACACACACACACACACACACACACACACACACACACACACACACACACACACACACACACACACACACACACACACACACACACACACACACACACACACACACACACACACACACACACACACACACACACACACACACACACACACACACACACACACACACACACACACACACACACACACACACACACACACACACACATGTATGTAAAACAATTGAATAAGACAACTTTCGTAATTTTTTGTCCTTATTAAAATGAATCAAAACATAATATACCATAAAAACACTCTTACAAAAGAAAATAAAACAACATAGGAACAAAATAGTCAAAATTAATCTTTAAATTTTGATAACACACACACATATATACCCAGATATGTACTATGTTGTAACATACACACATACATATATGTTTCATATTAACAATGAAATACATTGTTTGTATGGGAAGTTTATTAAAAAATTTACTTAAACAACCCAACAAAATTAAATGATAATTTTCATACATTTGCGAATAATAGGACGTACATAGATTGAATTCCTAGAAAAATTGTACAGATATAAAAATAATTTAGGTTGAACTACTTATTATCTTATAAAATATAGAGACCTCTAACATGTTACCCACCAGCCCACTCTGATACAGAGTGGTGGGTAATATGTACAATACATTAATATAAAAGTATGATGAAAAACTCAAAGTTCGTCGATCGATAACTATCAATTAGTGTCAATACATTGAAATAAATATATTGATTACAAAATATTATACTAATATTTGATTATACTGTGTTTGTCTTTACCTGATGAAACTACTGAACCGATTCTGATGAGACTCTGATATTGTATAGGTGATATATAGGAATAGTAATAGGCATTTCATTGTAGCAATAAGTCAGTTATGTCCTAGTGGTTAAAATGCCCGCTTCTCATGCAAGAGGACGCGGGTTCAATTTTAGCCCTGGCAAGCACCAATGTGATTTTTCCGAGTCATATGTACTTTCTAAGAGTATTTAGACGTCACTTATTAATGCATTCAAAAAGAGGGTTGATGTCAGGCAGGCGGCCGGTCGTAAAAACAAATAGCCAAAACTATTCACAACATGTAAAGCAGACAATGGCTAAAGCTGTAAAATTGCCAAGTAGAAGAAAAGCAACATACCTTTCATTTATATATTGAGTATAAAGTTACACATTACAGTAACATATATTTGAATTTAATTTATTTATTAGGTACTAGCTTTCCGCCCGCGTGGAGTTCGGTTATATCGCGATTCCAAGAGAACTTTACAAAAGTCTGAGATAAAAACTATCCTATGTTCTTTCTCAAGGTCAACTCTATGTCTGTACCAAATTTCATTAAAATCAGTTCAGTGGTTTAGGCGTGAAAGCGTAACAGACAGACAGACAGAGTTACTTTGGCAATTATATTAGTAGGGAAAATAAAAATAATTTTCTTAATACTAATATAAAAAACTTAAATACCTATAGATGACGTCTTATATTATTCATGTATGTTTGTTTTCCTGTTCTTGCGGTCTCCAAAATTCATTATTGATTTCGGTTTCCGCTTGTCAAGAAACAATTAATGGCACTACACTATACAAAGATCACGGGTTCAGCCGTCTTATGTTTTCTTTGTGAACCTTTACAATATACATAAAAGTTCTATTCAAAAAGGACTAGCATTGTCTAATATGAATTGCTTAATAAATACTTCATTTAAATATGCACATATGTACATGTATGGATAATTTAACGGCTGGACCGATTTGAGTAAAATTGCATAAGTATTATAAATTACGTGTTAAGACAGAAGATAGACACGTTAAACGAGACAACTTTATTAGGGTAATATATTTTTAAATTAACATACAATATAATTTATTATACCTATACCGATATTCGTTTTGGAGTTAAAAGTACACAAATACACAGACAATTATATATATATATATATATATATATATATATATATATACAGTACATAATATATAAATAACTTTATTTTGTACAGAACAAACAGACAGCAATTTTTTTTTTGAGTCAGTCAGTGAATCGGGAAAATACCTATATTCACCACAGTTTAAGTGAAGCGGTTAAAATTAATTGTTTCTTACAAAATAATAAAGACGGCCGAAATTGTAACATAAATTGAGACGAAAACAGGAAAAATATATAAAACAAACAATGGGTTCTCAGAAAATGTTCATAAATTTGGTAAAATTATTAACTGACATAGGAAATCCATTGTTATTTCCTTGAACATAAAAAGTTGAATAACATATAAATGTCTGAACTCATTTTAATGAAACTCTTATAAAATATAGATTATAATTTGGAATAACGGAATTTTTACTAATAATAATATTAATTTCAATCTAAACAAGCCTACGTTATTTGAATCATTATTTTTAAAGCACCTGTTACAACAGTTCATTGTGACTAGAGAGGGACGGGTGTATATGATAACTTGTGTTAGACAGAGATGGATATATAACATGACCTTACACAAAATGTGCACAATTGGCAGGTCAGTGACACGATGCGATAAGATAAAGAAATTTCGGGCGAACGGTTTACTTTGGATAATCATTTATATGACGTAAGACGAAGACATAAAAACATGTATATACAAATAAAAAGGAAGATTATGAAATAGAAAATAATTAATGGTTCTAATTTTCATCAAAGTATCACTAGATTATGTATTTTAAATTAGTTTTATTACCTATACATTAAGAATAGGGAGATAGACAATAAAGACATATTCGTAAATATAAATTCGGCGATAAATGAACACCTAAAATAAACAACACTCCAAAGTACATTCGAGTATTCAGTCGTACTGTTGTTCCCGGCTCCGTGCTCACAAACACAAAGGATTTAAATTCCGAACGCACATTCGAACACCAGCCAGGATTTAAAAAGTAAAATTCAAACCGATTCCAAAAAGGTGACAGCGAAAGTAAAAGCGTCGCACACATGCACGATACACACAGACCTGACCTTTCACAACTTTAGTACGCTGGCCGAATACTTGAGGTCGTTGCCATCGAGGCCGATGCATTTGGCAGGACGCGTTTAAAAAAAGAATACTCACTCTCGGTGAATTCGACGAGAATTCACTTTTGAAAATGGAATGCGATACTTGAATTGTTTCGTCGCTCGGATTATTGGAATGATTCATTTGAGAGGGAAATGAAATTTACGAAAATCTTATTCGCTTTAAAAGATTGGTAATAAATTCATTTCCTTGTTAGTGTTGGTACATAATTTTTGAGTAGTTTTATCGGTCGCCATCTTGAAGGACGTACCGATTAAAGCCGCTCGTTGTGACGAAAGTCACTCGACAATACTCATTGTAAACATTAAAAATATTGTCTTGGATTTTTTAAGAAATATAATTTTGTAATTGCCTGTCATACGATATAACTTTCGGTTTTTGGAAAGACCAGTGTTCAGGAAGACCTTTTATAGATTAATTTCGTTTAATAACTATATCTTTTTATTACTTACATAAGGTTTTTGAATAAAAATATAAAGTTCGACTAAATATTGAGTCTAGTTTGACAATCTAAGAGAAATCTTGACTAATAAAACATATATGTTTATATAGCAGTTCGTATTTTTTAGTAAATAAACTATATTCTGACCCACATTTAATATTTCATTTATGAATTAAATATTTAAGTTTTATTTTTAGTATCATTTATTTTGGTAACATTTTCAATTTGCATACCACCGTATGCGTGATATGTTTTTGAACGAATATCGATTTAATCACATAAAAAATATCCAATTTTAGCTTATTACGTTGTATTTTTTAATTCAATTAAGTATGTACTAGTTTTGTTTTTATTTAAATCAAGTTCAGGACTATTCTGTTGTACTCATTTTCCAAATTAAGATCTGTTTGTAAGCAGAATAACATTTGAATGAATATGTTATACATCAATAGTTAGTAGTATAGATGCAGGCGATATAGAATTACATCGTACGAAGTTACGTAGCGGCCAGTTTATTGACGCCTATGTATGAACTTGAGTTTAAGCCTCTGCGAATGTCATCTAGCCTCAGTACAAGCACAGTTGTGTGTCCGTGTGCATCTATGCAGCGCGCGCAAAAACAAAACCGCACGCTATAAACAACAACCCAATTTGGATAAAAAAAAAAAACTTTAAATGTCATTCCATTTTCAAAATAAATTCCCGCTCAACCGGCGCTGGAAAGAGACGGATATATATCTCCGCGACCGCTATTTCGGTGACGTCGTCCGGTGCATAGCGAAATAAAATAATGAAAAGTGGCATTCAGTAATTTCGTTGTGTTTACGCGCGTTGCTAGTTTCTTTGGTTGGGTACCGCTTTTTCGGATGCTCTTGGCGGGAGTGGCGCCACCTGCTGGCTGGCCGGGAAGACGCGTGCTGTTCCATGGAGCTGTCAAAACAATAATAACCTCGAAAACACTCCTGTATGTGAGCACGGCCCGCTCGTGATCATGGTGCCGTGAATTCGGCGGTAAATGGCGGTAAATTGATGTAGCGGTTTATATAATTTTTTCGTAACTTAACCTAGGACAATCTTCAGTTGCGCGCGAGCTGTGCCCGTTGCCTGCACGCTCCTCGCTCGTCACTCACAAAACACACGGAAAACAACGAAAATCCGCCGAATGGACCTCGCCGGCGAGACGATTCCCGCCGAAATTGATTCACGAACTTTGACCCAATCGGAACTTTTGAATTTGGAACGCGGATTCAATTCAAATTCGAAGTGAAACTTATCTTTGCTCAACATTGTGATGATAGACATAGTGCCTTATGTACAAACATATATTATATTGTGATGTCATAGTGCAAAAATTAGTTAGGAACTAGTTTAATGTGTTAGTGAACTGTATATCGACCGAAATCATAAAAGGACTTTACATTCATATTGCTTATGGACTGCTGCATCATATACATAAGGTAAGGATCCGTTTTACTTGTATAGCAAAAATAATTACAGTTATAGCTAATTTATGTTGAAGGAACGCCAATCTTAATCTATGAACTTGATTGCATTGGCGCGAAGTTCGCACACGTCAAGTGCATTCCTAGTTCAACTAGCAAATTCAGTCATTTGTGCATCTAGCTGTCGTTCATTGGATTTTGATCTTTATAGTATTAATTATTATTATGTATATAAGGTTTGTTATTGCGTGTATATATTTTTGGGTAGTATGAACTTGCGTGTATATTATAATAAGTGTTTCGGTTCATTTTCCGTTGCGTCCATATAGCCGTGAAGTTGTTCCTACAATCTATAGCTCCGATGTAGGTACAGTCTTAAGGTTAGTATTATGATTCAATTGAATATTTATTTCCTTTAACTATTCCAAGATAATAAAACTTAATTACCAAGATTTTTTTGTTCTCATTATTATTGCGATAGTATTTGTAATATCTGAGAAGTGTTTGATAGTAATGTTGAATATATTTAATGATCATTTCCTTTGTCAGTTAATGTTAAAATAATAAGGAAATGTACTAGCGAGGTAACAACTATAATATAATAACAGTAGAGATTGTACGTTCGTTCACATTTACGGAGAAAGTTCAAAAAACTTATTGTACATAATGCAATATAAATGCACCATCGTATATATATAATAAATATATGAATTTTTTATTATTTCTTAAACCATTATCCATATATAGAAGTCTAGTTTAAAGATTTTCATTCAAACTGCGCAGTAATTGTTTTATGGAGTTGCTAATTTATGATAAGATAGTGTATTTAATAGACGAAACGAGATATAAGTTTTAAAGTATTCATTAATATTAATATTAATTACTTATATATTATGAATATATAAATAAATCAAAAACAAAAACTTCCATGAAAATATCGAGTATCTATTTCAATCGTCTGCTATAAAATATTCAAAATATTCACAAACTTTTGACACAAATCCATATTTTGTTGGTAAGTTTTTGTTTTTATTGTCAACCGGATTTATAGTTTTAATTGTATTGCACAATAATATTATTTATATACGAAATTGTTTTAAGATTCGTGTTGGTAGGCGTGATGAAAATTTCGAAAAAATAATGTCTATTTATATTCAAGAAATTTAACATACAGTCTACAGTTATTAGTTATTACTACTACTGTAATAACATATATATATATTATGAATAATTTTGCTCAAAATGACAATAAACAATGTCTCTCTATTTAATAACCAATCGTACTAAACTAGTCAAACACAGCAAATATTGTAAAAGTACATTTAAGTATCATTTTATTTGTCTTTTTTTGGCTTTGGTTGTACATTCAGTGAATAATATTATAATTTATGTTCATCCAACAAAGAAACTACATCTTAACTATTACAAAGAAAAAATCATTATTTAAAACTATTGCATTAAAAAAATCTATCCTTTTCGGTCACAAATCCCTCTCCGAAGCTTCTAATTACGGTTGTAATATAAAAACTACAAGCACCAGTATAATTAACGTTTGATTCAATTATTCAAGTGGTTATTGTAATCAGATAATTCGATTTGTAAATAAAAAATACAAAAAAAAACAAAGCTACAAACATAAACCCATTATTTACTTTAAGTACGCAGTATCAACTGTCAAAGGTTATTGTCCTTTGTAGCTATTTTAAACCGTTTTTAATCCTGAAAGGAAAATGTTACCTTTGAATTCTAATTTATATGTATATATATAAAATTCTCGTGTCGTGTTAGACAGAGAACTCCTCTGAAATTGATGGACCGATTTTGATAGAATTTTGTCAGTTTATTGAGTAGGTCTAAGAATCGGCCAACATCTATTTTTCATACCTCTAAGTCATAAGGGTTGTTCACCCTTAATTTTTTTGCATTAAAAGATAAATAACCCAAATTTTTCCTTTTTATCACCAACCCCTATTTTTTATATGGCAAAACACATCTGCCGGGTCAGCTAGTATATATAATAGTTCCAAATACACTGTATGTTTTTATATCACGTCATTTTATTGAGGTCGCATTACTCACTGTTGACACACGTCAGCTGAACTCACTAGTTTCGATGGCTTAGTGGGCCATAATGTTATTTAATATGCTAATATAACAATAATATAGCTAGTTGCGTCTGTTCTATTATATATAAAGTATTATGTAATATATAGTGTGTGGAACTTCCGTAATTTGATCGCAAGAAAACTCATCACGATCTAAGATGGCGCTGTTTTTTTTGTGCTAGCTAACGGCGGGCGAGTGTTTCAGAACCAGTTCCTGTGCGTTTCATACACTTAACCTTGTCATTAGGCACCACTAGTCATTTTTGAATTTCGAACGAACGACATAAACTATCATTATGTACAACCTGAATTAGACTTTATTTATATAGTAATAGAGCTTAGATTGGAATGTAGATGATAGCTTTTATTACATTCCTATAATGTAAAGTCATTTTCGTTAGAACATTCTCGCGACGACATGAAAGTATGCTCCGTTTTTCTTGACTCTAACAACTAGAAGAATTCCTATATATAATGCGTTTGATACACTTAGTACGTGTATCGGCAGGTTTACTATTATATAGTAATTAACGAACGAACAGTCGGTAAGTAGTAAATGTTATGAGTTCAACAAACAAAGCGACAGGGCGTCGGTAAATTGTTTTCCCCGTTTATTTTGGTGTATCGATTTTCAAGATTGTTATGTTGCGTGACTGTGAAATATTTAGTAAACCCCTGGCTCCTGTTAAAACTCGGCCAAAACCAATAATAGCTACGAATGGTGGCTTTCTAACGTGACTACTATAGTAGTCATGTAGTAGTGTAGTAGTACTAGTGATCATTATATCTTATACCTATTGTATTAATAGAATTCTTTTGTTTTCCTGATAATAATTATTTCTGAATAGGTACTTAGGAATTTTGAAAAAAATCTTTTTTGTTATAGACCTATTTAAGTTTATTGAATTTCGACTTATTTGATAACTGAAATAATGGTCAATGGTCATAGAAAACGTCCAAAACTTCTGAAATACCTAATTCACAGTTTTTAACGTAGATAACATCTAGGAATTTTCATAGTTACCTAGAAACCTAAAGCCATTGATAAGATATTAATTCCTTATTTTATTTATTTATTTTATTTTTTATTCTATGGATTGATGACTGAATTAATATTACCCATTGACCTTTAAAACAAAGACTTCCCACAAAAGTTTAGAGTAATACTCTACATTTTTATGATAGTTGGCTTACTCCTAGTATATCGTAACCTTAAACATTAATTAATTTTTTGCGGTTTTAATTCTTCAGAATTCAGAAAACTAATTTCTGACACAACTTTCATTCTACTTTCTACCACTTCTGTTAACTTAGGAGCCAGTGTACATTTAAAAGTATCGGCTAAGTTCATAATTTATTTATCTTGACTACCTTCTTAAGTAAATTCTTTTTATTTTAATATTACAATATATAAAAACTAAATCAATCACTTGCGTCCAGTTAGTTATAGTCCAGTATAAATATAATTGCTTTCATTAACAGACCCGGCGCCTGTAAGCTAATATCTCAATCTGATACGTCTAAGAGCTGTTATCTATTCAATGGCGGGCGACCACTCGCCGCGACCCCTAAAACTAACGACCTTACAGACATTACGTCACAAATACTACTTAAACCGATTGGGAGGGAGGTCAAGCTATATTTGTCAGCGGAGACGGCCGAGCGGTTCCGAAAATAGCCGAGCGCAACAAGTATGGCGACGCACGCGTCACGGTCTTGAGGTGAAGGTTTAATATTATTGAAGCGAATTTGATAGTTCAGTAGAACTCTAAATATGCGCGGCAAGGTCTATATTCGCACAAGATGGCCGCCGAGTGTCGAGTCGTGTATCGCTAGGTAAATAGACACGCTAGTTACATTCATAGACTTGATCTTTACATTGATTTTGTTGTCATTAGTCACTCCCGTTCCCACGAGCTCCTATTATATTTGATGTTCAACATGTTATTACTTATCTATCATTGGTGTCATGTAATCTATTGAAATCTTTATACAATAGACTACATGTACTTATTGAGTTTATAAAACTATTAATAATATTAATCTGATATATTAATGTTAATTTTATCAATATAATTGTTATAAATATAATAATTCGTAGTCAATATTAAGATGTAAGTGTTAATCATTTCGCAAATCGGAACGTATTATAAGGCAATGCGTTCTTATCACTCGATTGTGGCGGCAATTCGAAACTGAGCCGCTAAAATGTTGCATCATTAAATTGCCTTGTTTTATATTATGCATTAATATATTACTAAAATTTTTAAATATCTAAATATTGTCACATATGTATCGCCAAATCGACGAAATAATCACGTAATTAATGTATATGATGTTGATTTAACAAACATCACAAGTGAAACTGCTTACACAGTCAGGCTAGTAGTTGACTTAACATATTGTCAGGACAGTAATCAGTAGACTTGTGAATAGTTTTCATGTTTACATATAATAATACTTTTTAACTTCTAAATAGTTTTAAAAAGAAAACTAAAAAATTAAATAATATAATATTTACATAAATATTGAATAATTAACGCAAATCGTGCAGTGAAGCCCCTGTACAATATACTAACTCATGTATGTCTTCAGATTATTACGTTACCCGACTGTTGACATATTTGTTCAACACACGGTTTAGGTACGATATAAACAAATATACAA